AAGAACAGCTATTATCATCACCGTCTGAGAAAACTAATACCGATACAGTTGTTAAAGTTTTTAGTTACTTACTTCATGTGGTGACTTCAGCTCTGGTGATGCCTTTGAAAAAAGAAAATGCAGAACAACAGGAAAGGGAATAATATCTCCTACTACTGGAGATTTTATAATATGGGCAGGAGTTTGAAATAGCATAGGACGGAAAGAACGAAGTATTTTGTAGGACTTTCCAAGTTCTCCAATTCTAGGACAGAGTGTTTCAACTGCCATCTCCATCTGAGCAAAGTCTGCAGCAAGTCTCATCTTCCCACCATCTCCTAAGGGACGCACTAAGCTGGCATGCCGAACGAACAAGTCAATGGCTCTGCATGCTACTTGCTGAATACTGTAAATATATAAATATACAAAACATGTAGTTATTTTATTTTGGAGCATAAAAATATTGGAATTCAAAAATATACCAGGCTGTGTTTTCTGAATTAACCTCATTGATTTACTGAACAAATCGACAATAAAAATACCTCAAAGATATTACAATCACTCATAATCAATTAATTTTATAGAAAAGAACTTTCTAACAGTTGTTGACAGAAAAGTACAATATGATTTGGGATTTGAATAAAACAATCACAAGGTTTCACTCTGTCAATTTGTCTCGGTCAATTTGACTGACCAGATGACCTTTCTGCACTCGTTTAAAGTCTTTATAGATTCAATACTTATAACTCTCAATATAGTGTGTATAACTTCACAAAATTTGGCAGTTTTTCAGTTAACATTACAAGTTTTTCACATACAAAAAATCATATATTTTTTTAGTGAAGTATTTTTAATAAAATAAAATAAAGATTTGTCCATGAATACGTTGAATATTGGTTTTGAATAGTCTGTGTGCAAAGTAATTTTCATGTTAAAATAAAAAATACTTTTCTTCATCCCAAAAATCTCAAATTTCATTTGTGTAATCCCTAAAACCTTCTAATTGCATTTCAAACATTTTTTTCAGTAACATTTTATAGTTTATCCGTTATTTTATCTATCCTATCTCTATACAGGATTGGTCAATTTGACAGACCTCAAAACCACCAAAAAACATTCTAAATAAATCTATATTACCCTTTTTTTCTTTTTAGAATGACTTCAAATTGTTACATGGAACTACATTCGTTTATCCTAAATGGCTCTAGGTTTGTAAAATTATATATCTATTTATAATTAAATTTTACTGTTTTATTGCCATTTGAACTGTGTCCAACTATTATCCACGGCATAAAAAGTTGTAAATCACTCAGAGAATGTGCAGGTCATATTATGCTATCATATTACATTACCCACAAGCTACTACAAGCTCTTCGCTTGCATGCCTCGTGAACCCTTTTAATTATATTACTAATATGTAATGAATTTGTTATTATATATTTATTTTAATATCAACGTTTGTTTAGATTAAGTATACAATTTAAAACATGTGTAGCCTATACTATTAAATATGTAATGCAAAACTCCCACCTATTTTCCAAAGTTGTAGAAGACTATCAAGAGTAAGAATCAACAATATATGAATGTACATAAATGCTTAAATGTAGCTTTGCATTGTTACGTAATCTGAATTTTCTAGAAAGCCTTCACATGCTTATAAATATAACCAACGTGACACGCCAAGAGAGTATCTATTATTAGTTTGCTATAGTTGGTGTGCTATAAACTTCGAAAGCTATAACTGTGATTGTTATAATGCTTATCAATCGGAAAACTTCAGATATTTGTCCAGGAGCATTTACAAAGTTTGAAAATTACAAATAATTTTAAGTTCAGTGGATTCCCTTTGGACATTAGTATTTTTACAAAAACATTACTTAACGTCACCAGTGGAAAACTCTGTGTGTGTAGCTGGTGAATAACGAAAGACAAAGCTAGCTAGCTCCCTGTTAAGTGAATTATACCTATGTCAACTTGTAACTAACTCGCTCATCGTGAACCCTCGATAAGATATCAAGAAAGTTCCAGACTAGAAATAAAACTTTATATTGTTTGTAAGTTTGTAAACTTTTTGTATATAAATCAACGTGTGTTATAGCTATTGGTAATAACTGTTATTGTAAATTGTAATGTTGTTTGTATATTAAAACATATTTGTGTTAAAAAAGAAAACCGTGTGTATCAATCTTGTTAGCAAATATCATAAACTGACTATATATTGGCTTGTACTTAACTTTTAAATCC